ACCCACACCCACACCCACACCCACCCACACCCACACCCACACACCGAACTTTAAAAAGGTTTCGAATTTTGCAACGAAAACGAAACCTTTTTAGGGTTTCGTATGAAACATTTGAAATCTTAAAAAAAGACTCCCAAAGTTTGGACAATTATTTTGGACGTATCCTGGATTTTTACAAAACCTCAAAAAAGGTTTCGCTTTCGTTGCAAAAATGGTTTAGTACGGCACCTTATTTTTTTTCAGAGCACCCACACTCCAAACTACACTCACACCCATCCACACCCACACCCTCACCCACACTCGCACCCACACCCTCGATGTGCCATGAGGAAAGTATTACTAGTGTGATAGGCCTCTTTGCAGCGATAAAAGAAACCAGAGGTTATTTTAGTGCTCAGTGATGGCTTCACTCCTGACCCGTCGGCTATGAGGCACCTCAATTATTCGTTTAAACATGATTTATTTATCATATTTGAATCATTTGAACAACTATAACAGAGTTAAAGCTAACGGGTGAATCCTCTAGCAGGGACGAAATCTGGATCTTGACATGCTAGATTCACCCGTTCTTTGATTCAGTTCCTATCATCCATCGTGTTCTTGTTTACTGTTTCAAAGAGAAAAATAATTTGAGAGATTTTTTATCGGGCATATTGCTGGTTGCGCCCAATATAATCTCCATCTTTAACGAGACACCATGCGCAGAACACTTCTTCGTCGAGTACATCAATGACACCAGCAGGTGCTGGCCAGTGACGGTCGTCCATTGCTGTCATGTATTTATCGGCATTGACTGGTTTTATTTGGTAATTTCCAGTCTCTTGCAATATTACAGACCAGTGTTGATAACTCGATGTATGATTTGTCTGTTCGAAGCCAAAAGCATCATTGTAGTCATTGTAAAAAAGTGATCTTGTAGGACCATAGAATTTATTTGTTATACGGTACACGTTTGGAGTATAGTCTTCCACTGGTATAAAACGAAATAATTGTGTTGGTTTACCCAGAACTGTTTCAAGAATCATGAAATAATATTGTCCATCTTCCGCGTAATTGGCACTGGGAAAGTTCCCGGCTTGTATATACTTATCATCGACACAGTAAAGTCGATAGTAATCCGATGCAAGTTGATCTAAAAGTTAGTAAAAATAGGTTAATTTTCAGAAGAAAGAAAGGTCGTTTTAAGTGCGTACTATCAGCCGATACGTATGAAATAACTAGAAAAAGGAACAGAAAGAATATTATTTCAATAATTGATCAGAATAAAATACACTGACGTCCGATAATGGTGATGATTGTTAGAATAGCAAAAAACATGTTCGTAGTTGAATGAAAAGCTTCAAATATTCGAAAACTATTTATCAGTGTGATATTTAACGAGAGAATAAGACCATCTGTCAGTCAATATGTGAAGCACAAAACATATCTCAGAAAATACTGGAGTATATTTTACTAGGATCAGGGTGGGGTTTTAAGAATAATTCCAAGCTACTTACGACGATCATTGCGTCCTTGCTTAAGGGATTCGTCAGGTAAATTTGGAATTAGAATGATCTGCATGAATAATTTGTTTCTCAATTTCAAAAGAACGTTATAAGAGTCATCAATGCGTCGAAGACTGTTAACAGTAATCTAATGTCGAGAGAGAGAGTTATCATTATCGCAGAAATCTCGAAATGGTAAGTTTTCAAGAATAATTCCAATCTACTTACAACAATCGTTTCAAATGGTGTTTTTCATAGAACAGATTCAAAGCATCATACGACGCGGTGATGGTGGGTGAGGGAGAAGGTGGGTGAGGATGGGTGGATGAGGGTGAGGGTAAGGGTGGATGGGAGGGTGAGTGTGAGTTTTCAAGATATATTTCAAGCTACTTACGACGATCGTTCCGAATGGAACTGAATCCATTTATCATCAGACAAATTTTGGAATATAATCAGCTAAGAATTATTTAAATAAATCGCAAACTTTAATAGAAAATTATGGAAGTCAAAGACAAGGGTGTGAGTGTGGGGTGTGGGTGTGGGTATGGGTGGGTGTGGGTGTGGGTATGGGTGGGTGTGGGTGTGGGTGGGTGTGGGTGCGGGTGCATTTGTTTGTCCTCTCTTTGCCCACACACCCACACGCTAGTTTCGTCTGTTACACTCTTGGTGTCGATCTCACTTTCTTTAGGTAACTCCGTTGTGTTTCACATTTTTTGTTGTTTGTCCGTGCTTTTAATTCTGAACAGTGCGTTTGTGATTGGAAACAGTTTAGCATTCGTCTTCAACGGACTGTATCTGCTTCTCATCTTCGCAGTAGTTACGTATGGGCGGTAAAAATTAGCTCTGTATTATTTCTCAGTTTTCAATGCCGTTCTGTGTTAGTTTCGGTATCTAGGTGGTATTTCGAAGGGCTATCCATGAAAAGGTTGATCTGTGAAGAAGGTGCTGTGTTAGTTTGTAATGCGGTTGGGTTCGCAGCAACTTTTGGGTCTTTTTTTTATAGTTCACGTGTACTAGAGTTGCTTGTTGTAGATTCTACTTTGGCAACGAGCGTGAGTAGGAAATAAATTTTCTCTGGGTCGTTATTGCGAAATTTTTGCTGATGCTTTTAGTATATCGCTTGAAATTATACGTGTGTTAGGCTGCGTTTTAAGAAGTAAAATTTTATGTTTCCTTAGACTTTAAATATTGTATAGTATGTCGACATTATAATTAAAGACGTTATGATCATTTGCAGGATTCTCTAGAAAACAAAGCTGAAAAATTTTTCGAAAACAAACTATTTGAACGTTCTAGGTTAGGTCCGTACAGTAATAGAAATTGTGTGTCGATATTCGTATTTTTCTGTGTGATGAAATCGTAATGGCGCTCTCCGATTATGCTTTGGAAAAGTTCATAAACAGTAAGTCAGAAATGCTTTGCAAAGACTAGTTGTTTAAACAAGCACAGTTTTCAGCAAAATGAAAAATGATATTATGAACGTCTAAATTTTCTGACCGTGATTGAATACCAATCGCGGTTCCCAATTGTCAGTGAAACACGTCCGTGAAAATCAAGTGAAAAATCACTCGAGAAAACTAGACGCTTACACACTTAAGATTTTCACTGAAAAAAAGAGTTAATAACTCTTAGGAATATTGGACAAGTACTCGATTTCGATTTTCTAGAGGTTGAACGCCCACGAATCAAGTAAATCAGTGAAGATGATCGTTTTAACATCGAGTATTACAAGCTGTTACTGGATCACCATCGGGAACCGTGATTGCAGCGGAACACGGTCAAAAATAAGTTAGCGTTTAGATGCGTTTTTAGAAATGTTGATCTGCTTGGGTATTTTCGATAATTATGAAAACGTATCAGTAATTATAGATATTTGGTGTCGAATATCTAAATAAAAGCTTAAGTTGCGACACGAATCTCGAATAGTTACAATAAAATAGTCAAAAATATTTATCATTAAAATGTATTTATATCTTCTAGGAAATTCTTTGTTCGAAATCTATGATAAAAAAATTTCTGTTGAAATGAATATCTCTGAGGTGTTGAGAATCTCTGAAAAGTTAAATTGATTGTATTTCAATCTCTCAATAATAATTGTTTAATTTCTAGTACTTAAATTATTAAAAATGGCAAAAGGTATTCGAGCATTATTAGATACAGTTATTCAAGCTCTTCCACAAGTTGAAAATTTGGTAAATAATATTATCTTATTGATTAATATACTAATAAATATTTATTTATGTTAAGGGTCTTTTATTTTTTCTTCTTTTCTTCATATTTACTGCTCTTGGTGTTGAATTATTTGGAAAATTAGAATGTAGTGAAGAACGTCCATGTACTGGACTTGATAAACATGCACATTTTAAAGATTTTGGTATGGCTTTTTTAACATTATTTCGTATTGCAACTGGTGATAATTGGAATGGAATAATGAAAGTTAGTCTTTAGTAGTTATTTTGTTTTTTTAAATTTAATATATTATTTAATATACAAAGGATGCATTACGTCAAGATGATTCTCCACATGGTGGAAAAAATCATTTAATGTCAGCATTAGCACCAATTTATTTTGTTATTTTTGTTCTTATGGCACAATTTGTTCTTGTTAATGTTGTTGTTGCTGTATTAATGAAAAAACTTGATGTAATTTAACAAAAACAAAAAAAAAAAGCTGACGAATTATTTAATATTTTATTTTTATTTTAATTAGGAATCAAATCGAATGATGTCTGATGACACAGTAATAGATGAGGAAATTGAACGACAATTAGAAGTTGATGCACATGATAGAGATTATCTTGAACAACCATTAATTGATGATAAAGGACTCAATGTATATATACATTTATTTACATTTTATTAAATATTTTATTTTTATTTTTATTTTAGTTTCTAAATGATAATAATATAAGTTATTTTCCATTAACAAAACAATTATCTTTACCACCAAATTTGATATTTCATTCAATGAGTTCAGTAACTGAATGTTCAGAAAAGGATTTGTTTACATTATATAATATTATGTGACATTATTTATCATTCTTTTACCAAATTAAATTTACTTGAACAGTCAAAGATAGTCTCTCTAGATGAAACTGAGCCAGAAAAGACTAGTACATTGAATTGAAGTACCTTCTACATCGGATCTGATTGAATCCAGTAGGCTGATTAGTGTCTTTTCAAGAGTTAAGATATGTCAATTGAGTTACAGAATAATACTCGGTTTAAATGAACTCGATATTTAACTGTTAAGAGCACAATGTCTCTTCCAAGGAACATAAGAATAATTTCAATAAATTCTACTAGAAGAGTTTATATGGAAAAATCAACATTTTTCTGAACTGACATAACCTTAGTGATCATACAGAGATGAAAATATAATTCTTAAGTGATTCTTAAATCAAACGACTCGTCATTTTTTTTCATATCGCTTTTCTTTTCTGAAGTTTTTTTTATTCATATAAGCGACGTGCGACTTTGGTTTTTTTAAACGATATTGTTAAACATAGTGTTAAGGTATTTGATGAAACCATCTCGTCAATTTTAAACCTTTCGACTCATGCAGAACACTATCATAAAGAAAATGTTTCTTCTTTGGGATATTTCGCCTCAAGAAACAATCCAAGCAAAGAAATTTTGCTCATAAATAGCTGATACGCTATTTAAATTCTCCTTAAATTTGCAGTAACAACGCATGTTGAAGAGAAGTCGAATTTTGTGAGTCTTTTGAAAAATGTTGCTGATTTTTTTCTGCGCGCAATATTTCAACAACAGAGTATTCGTTCTAACTGAAAATTGAAGGATCATATAAACTGATTAAGGGCGAAATTTCAAATCGAAATTCGCTTCTTTTAGGTTTTTGAAAGGTTTAAGATTTCTACTAAAGGACGTTATGTAACTCTAGAGGAAGAACCAGACACTTCGTTTTATCTATAGTATGAGTATACTGAGGGTCCATCAGCTCTATTTTTATGGTTGTCTTCCTTCTGTTGCAAGAAAAACCCCTTTATATTTCACTATTCTAAGAGTAACCCATACTGTTTATATAAAAAAATCAAAACTTAATTATACAAATTCGATAAGTGTTTATTATATATGTTAAAGGTAAATCAATTGAAAAAGTGAATAATTGTTCATTATCATCGGTGTTGAGTTCAACATCTGGTATAGTTAACTCAAAATTGGATTAAAAAAGTCTTTCAAATCCTAATGAAGAAAATTGATCATTAAATAGTGAAAAAACTAGTGAAATTGATATTAAAAAAAGAAGAAGATTTCGTTTGTCATCATCGTTCAAATACAATTTCTCGACATAATAAAACAAAAATTAATCATAGAGAAGAAAATGCAATATCAACAACATCTAATAAAAAAATCAATGAAAACAGAATCATTTTCAAGATCATTATTACAAATTCCGACAAAACGATGTCGACATTTTATTTATCATTTATAATGACCAATCGAAAAAACAAAATAAATCCGTCCAAAAAAAATTGTTTTGTTGTTTTTTAAATATCGTGTAACTGGTCGACGCATCTTTTTTTTCTGTGTTTACTTTTCATTGTGTATTCATTGCATATCAATCTTATTTCGGGTTTTTTTTTGTTTTAATAGAAAAGAAAACTGTTTTGCTTGTTTTTTCACAAATCGATAAGAGATTTATAGTTAAATCTATTCGAAATATTTAAATAAATTAGTTCTTCTATCATAGACAAGATAATAACTCGATTTCGATGAAATATTAATCTTCATTTAGACTAATGTTATGCAAATAAATTTTATTTTTGAAAAATGTCTATTTCGTTTTTTGTTTTTATTAACATAGACGAATATTCAATGAAGGAAGCTCAACATATCTCAATCGACAAACAAACTATTATTCTCATCGTTATTAAACATTTATAAGACTTCTACTAGTCTATAAGGCTTCATTTCTATACTCTTTTCTTCTTTCAATCTATAGATATTTTACTCATTTTTAAAAATCTTTCTCAAGTCTATTCTTGAAAAGAAAAAGAGTCAATTATGATATATTCTATACAAAATGATGAATTATCATTGAGATGTTAAAGATTTTAAAATCAATCATCTGCCAATAAGATAGGTAAGAAAATATTTTATTTTCATCATTCGAATATGTACCAAATAAACATAGCGACTAAATTTCAGTTCGATTCATCATCAAAAATCGAATAGAATTCATTTATCATTTTATTTTGTTCGTTTGTCAATCTATAAATCATCGCTTGACATTGAATGATGACATTATATTAAGTTAAAGTAAATCCCTATAATATATGTTCGAATATCTACTATTTAGCGTTAAACGATAGTCCAACATCAATTATATCTTAAAATATTAAAAAAAAAAAAGGTCTTATCAAATGATTGTCCCATTGTTATACACATGATATCTGATATATTCAATAGATGACAATCACTAGAGGGTTAACTTTTATTATAGAAAACCAAATAATGAAAATAAGAGTCCTTTGTCTATTTAACCATATCGAATAGTCGATAGGCACGGTTACGCGTCACTGCAATCACTTTTATTATGATCGCAATAGAGCAAAGTCATGTATAAATTTAAGATTTTAATGGATATTTAAACTAGTTTATATAAAAAATGATTTTATTGTTTTATTGAAAAAGAATTATGTATTTAAGAGCAAAGAGGTCAATTGATTATTATGTATTACCTATAAAAGGTGTTAGATCAAAGCAGATCGAATATAATATATAATATGAGAGCACAAATGATCTATGTCATTTATTATCATTTAACTATTAAAAAAATAAAGAGTTGAGTCAATTGTTACATATTTTACTCGATTTTGATTATTATATCGATTATTGTTTTAAGTCAAATATAAAATAAATAAGTTATCTATCAAGAAATAATATCAACAAAAAACTCTAGGAATTCTTTCCTAAGAACAAACTCAAAGTATGAACTCTTTCTAGTCTATTCTGAGTTAATTAGAAATAAGATAATGTTCATTAAAAATTAAAAGAGATTAATATATTATAGGCATAATCAAATTCACTCTTAATGACATAAAACTAAGTGAAATTATGTGTTTTGTTTAATTTACTAAACAATATTGTGATAATAACTCGATATGAAAAATCAGAGAGAGATCAAAGATAGTTAAGAGATATTTTATCAAAATAAAAGTGAATTTAAATATTAGGTCAAATGAAATGTCTTTTTGCTTAAATAATCGAACAGTTCTTGAGATAATCTCAAAATATTAAACAAACTCTTATGATGACGACTCTTACGAATCACAATAGACCATTTATACTTGTTTTAGCTCACGTTTTTCATAGGAAAAATCAAAGAAAAAGAACTATTCATTTTCTATTATTTTCAGACCGAGAAAAAGTTCATGATTTTCTTGATCAGATTATTTTCAAATATTTGCTAGTGGATTGAAATAATTCTTATCATATATATTGAAAATGTGTTTATTTGTCTATTAAAACTAAAAGACATTCTAATGATAACAATGAATTGATGTAGTTCTAATATTTTCTTAATAATAGAGTAAACTCTAAATAAGAAACAAAAGATGTTTTGTTTTGTTTTTCAGATGATATAAGAAAACATGAAATTCTATTAGTGTACTACAGTGAATATCAATTGAGATACACAATAAGTATCTATATATATATACACAAGATAGAAAAAAGAAAACAAGTAAAACAAGATAAGATATAAAGTAATTGTTATATATTAAATATAATTGTATTAAGTAAATTCAACATGACTTTCCCAAAAAGCAATAACAGCTTGTGGATATTTTTTATTAGCAATTTTAGCTGATATCCATTGTGTATCATGATGACCAATTAATTTAATTCTAAATGAAATACCATCTTGATCATTTTTAACTCCTTCAATTTTTTCAATATTATCTTCATCATCTTGTATTATATCTGATTGTTCTTGTTCTTGATCATTTGTTATTATAATTGAATTATCATTATTTGATTTATCATTTGTATTATTATTATTATCACTATCATTAAGTGTTAATGATATTGATGATGCTGATGTTGGTGTTATACGAAGACGAAGATTAACACTACCTTCATTTGTTTCATCATTTAAATTATTTTCTTTTTCTATTGAACATTTATTTAATAATTCAATACTATTATTATTTTTATCATCTTCATTATTTATTGTTTCATTTTTATTATCATCTAATATATTTGTTTCTTCAATATTATCATTATTTATACTTTCACTTTTAGCTATATAACAAATTAATATTAGATTTTATAAAAACAAAAAAAAAAATATTTGTTCTTACAAGTTGATCTAAGACGATTTTTATTTGGTGTTTGATTACCATTTGATAATAGACTATGTGATGTACCATTTAATTCATGATCATTTAAATCCAAATCATCATTTTGATGATTAATATCATGATCTTCAGTAATTTCTTCATCTTCATCATGACTTTCATTTAATTTTGATTTTTTTGAATTATTTTTTGTTTTTTTTTTACTTTTTGTTTCACTTTTTCGTATTGATTTTTTTTCATTTGTTTTCTTTTTTAAATTATCTTCAAATTCTTTAATTAATTCTGGACAATTTAAATTTCCTATATCTTCCCACTAAATAAATTAACAAAAACATTTTTTTTTTTATCATATTTCAATAATCATCGAACAATCTCTTCTTCATATAAGATTTATATTCTATATCAATGATATGTAGTAAGTGTATACGTGCCTGATATAACCACTCACGAACTTGCCCTCGATCATTTCGTATCTGTTTGATACGTGATCGTTATTAAATAAACTATGTTAGAATAAATATATTTTTGTCGAAATGATCATTATTCGAATGTTTAATATAACACTTTACTATTGATTTAAATTTCATTATAAAAATCGTTAGAATAAACTCTTAATTATAATTTCGAGGAACGATCGAATTAATCCTATTATATAGATTTTCAAACTTAGTTAGACAATATTCTTATTAGAATTTGATATTGATTATTCTTTATAATTCAGTATATTTCATTTTATGTTCGAAATTGAAATAAAAACATTTGTAAAAAGTTCTAAGCGAAGAATCAACAATAATAAAATTCAATCGAAAAATATTATTTTGTTCCAAGGTTAGATAACAAAAAAAAAAGAATAGTACTCGATTAATCTATCATATAACGAAATAGATAAAACCTTTTTTTTTTTTCTTTTGATTATTTTAAATAGAATAAAAATCTAAAGTTTGAATATTAATTCGAAATGTTTTCATTTTCAAAAAAAAAGAAATTCAATTGAGATATGATATTCCTTTTTCTTTTTTAAGAAAAAGAGCAAAATGTTTAAACTTACAGTATTATCATCATCAGTATAACCTTTCCATTTGAGAAGATATTGAATTTTTTTTCCTTTTGTACGTTTATCAACAATAGATTCAACTTGAAATTCATTTTCCGATTCAGATTCTTCACTACTTGAACTACTTTGACGAGGACGTTTTTTTGATGTTGTATTAACCATATTTGAACAAAAAATACTTCGCTTTGCTTGTCTTTCTCTATAACAAAAAAAATATATATTAAATTAATCAATGCTTTGAACAACAAAGTATATGAAAGAAAATGTTCACGTCTGGTTAAACGTTCAAGAAAAAAAAAATATACCGACCTCAATGAATAGGTCAAACAATGATATACATCCTTTGTCGAAAGAAAAGAAAAAAAAAATTTAGATCCAATCAATGAATGAGTAGATTTTGTTTTCGTATAGATAAAGGCCAAGATTATTTACTTTGAACAGATGACGCTATTTATCGTCAATAGTAATAGGAAAAAAAAACTATAGAAAATACTCGATTTTGTTTTTTATTTATGTAATCAACATTGAAGAAAAATTTTCAACTATAATCATTGAATAAATATTTTTATGTTTTCAAAATCATATCATCTCCATGGTATTTAAAATAAACTAGTACTTTTACGATTATGTTTTTATCAATATTCATCATCTAACATGAGGAAAAAAATCTCAACTATTATTTTATTTAAGTTGTAAAGATAATCTCAAAAATTCGTATGGATTTATAAAATAAAAAAGACGAAAAATGATTATATTACATGTTAATAATGAATTCCTATACTTACATTTTCTATTGTTCAACAAAAAAAAGTCAACAAACATATTGAAACACTTGTTAAATATTAGTTTACTTACATTAATGTACTATGAGTAAATTTTTAAAAATATCTCATCTTTTCATAGAATATTCAGTTAGAAATATATTTACTGATAATCTTACCATTATGTCAGTTTTGTTGTTCAACAAATAAAGAAAAACGAATCTTATTTTTCTAATAAAAATCATCCGTTTTTCTAATAGAACAATAACTAATGAAAAGATCGATTGAATATGAACTGTTTTTTAAAAAGTTTACAAAAGAAAAATTTATTTGTAAAACGTTAACTAGAAGATAATAAATAATAGAAGAATTGGCATAGAATTTGCACTAAAATAATTTGTCTTTATTATGAAATTTATATATACAAATTTGACAATTTTAATGAATATTTTACATATTTTCGTTTTTAATATTTAAATTATATTTTGTGCAGGTCGACGTTCATCTCGCCAATTCCCTATTAAAATAAAATATAAATAAAAATATCTTTTTTCTTTTTTTCTTGTTTAATTCAATACTTTATTTCATGGATCATCGACACTTTTTTTATGTAGCAGTATAAGAATCTACAGTTGACATTAAATGTTTAATAATACTAAATTTTTCATAAAAAACTTTAGCAAGTGATGCTAAACAATTTGTTGTACATGATGGAATTGAAAGAATATTTTTTTTCTTTCTGCTGTATATTTATCTCCATTAACATCCATAAAAAATATTCGAGCATCAGTTAATGATGCTCTAATAATAACTTTTTTTAGCACTAACTTGTAAATGTGATTGACATTTATCAATTGTTGTAAATATACCAGTTAATTCAATACACAGAAACTAATGCCATATTGATCGTCGAGTATCAGTTAAAATTCGTAAAACTATATCATGTAAAATACGAAGAAGATCTCTAAAAATAATGAATTATAAATACAATCATTTCGAATACTTACACAGTAAAAGTTTCATCTCGTGTTTCATTAACTGATGGTAAACCATTATTCTATCGTCTTAATAAAACATCTTCAGTTGAATTTTGTAGAAAACATACGAACAATTATATTTATATTCATTAATCATCGATTTATAATTTGACGATTGATATCCTAAAAAGATTTCAAAGTATAGAAGATTTTTGTCATAAACAACAAAAAAACCAACATTTTTATTTGCTTATGTTCGAAAAGCTACAACAAATGGATCAATTGGGTGTAATTCAACTGATGATTACAACAACAGATAGTATTAATTGTATAGAATAAATGTTGAGAGTGATTGATCTTATTTGAAGAACAAAGTAACGTAAAATTGAAAATTATTCAAAAAAAGAAAAATAAGCTTAGATGATCTATAAAAAATCATTTTTCCACATACATAAATCTGAACGATAAAGTATAAGTGCTGTCTATTACACTCATTTTCAGAGCTCAAGTTTCTTTGATATTTGAGACCTTATAAGAAGGATATATTTTATTCACCCTCATTTAATAAAACTTTTTAGAAATTTTCATAGCGACTATTTCTTATAATAGTCACACTATACTTTATTATATCGAACAGGTTAAAGTAATGTTTAAATAATAATCATTAACATTGTGCTTCTAATTCTTTCTTATCTGTTTTAAGTCGAACAAAAAATAAATCATATAGAACTGATTCTAATGCTGATTAAGTTAAATAAAGAATTTAAACGATAATTTATTTTTCTCGAAAATGTTTTTTTTAATTGTTTTATACTATGTGTTTGAGATTCATGTCTACTTGATAATAATCAATTACAATATTTTATAGTAAGTTTTGTACTTTAATAATTTATTTTAAATGAAGTGTATCATGTTATAACATAAGAAGAAATTCACCAATACTATAAATAAAATGTGTTTAGACATCATAACTTGCTACAGTTTCTTGAAATTATTTCAAGTTGATTGATTATATGAGTAAGAAAATTCCATTTTAAAATTAAACGAAACGATTAGAAATAGAACGAACTTCATCAGCATCTAATAGACAATAATTAAAACGAATTAAAAGTAAATAAGCAAGTAAATCGAATGCAACAGCTTGAAGATCAGTTTCATTTATATTAACATATTTTTTTAAGGCTAATTTTTTAGTTAAATAAAAACTATTAAATACAAAAAAAAGTAGATCAAATTTGGCTTTTTTTAAAATTTTACTCTCGTACTGCATTATTTTTTATGGATTAATCACTATTTTTACTTGATGCATGACGTGAACATCAGATCCGAGATTGTACGCGTCCAATTTCGAATTGATGCAATTCTGTTCACTCAAATATCAATTTCTCTTTAGATAGACGTTGGATTCGAACTATTTTTTGAAATTATGTTCGTAGAATGCCGTTTTAAGTATTACAAGCATTTAGGAAGAAGCTAAATTTAGACTCAAAAATTTAATATAAATTTTTCACAAAAGTTGTTGTTCTCTAGAAATTTATTCATAACTCCTAAAATTTTACTCAAATCTGTCAAATAACAATTATACCAAACAAACCGGCATTATGTGAACATAACTCAAAAAAGAACAATTCGAATCCAACGTCTATCTAGAAAGTAATTGATATTTAGTGAATAGAATTGCGTTAATCCGAGATTCGTCTAGGCCAATCTGAGATCGGACGTAATCTCAGTTTGGACGCTGGCATATATATGTAAATAAAAGGTCAACATAGGAAAAGGAATAATAGACGTAATTTTCTCCGACGATATTTAACCGATTGGATATGTTTTGTGTATAAATTTAATTTTCCTCGTCTGCTATGTTCGATATATATAAGGACAGGTATATCATTTTGTTTTTCAGATCCATCTTTTTCCATAGAATGTGTAACATAAGAAATGTAAGTATTTATTTACCGATGTGTCTTTTAATACTGTTGTTTGATTCTTTTTTTTTAATCTAGTGTAGAATTTATTCAATATTCTAGATTACATTTACACCTTTGTTGAAGTTGGTAACAAAAGGTTTTTATATTTACGAAAAAAATTGTTTTTCGTTTATTTTAGTTTGTTGTTATGGCTGAACATGAGGAAACAATGAAAATTAGAAACATGACGAAAGCTGTTGAAGAAATTATTAATCAAAAAAACGTCAGATTGAAACAATATTCTTAAGAAAACAAAAATTTATTAGAAGATGAAATAAAACAATTGAAAGACGAAAAAGCAAATATGACTGCACTATTAAAACAATCTAATGAAAATAAAATTAAGAAGTCAGAAAGTAATTATATATTAAAATTTTTACCATTAACCTCTTGGATACCGCTTATCTTCAATTGAAGACATGCAGAACGAAAGAATTTATTTTTTCGTTCTGTCGTGTCGATAAACAGCTGTGAAACGAAATGTTCATTGGCATAGCTATATCGATCCATGTTATATGTACGACAAAATATGCATGAATACAGCTCATACAAGACGATCGAGCGCAAGAGAGAGTGTTTTTTCCATTTTTCTATATAATTGTCGAGAACGCAAGAAATCACCGGTATCCAAGAGGTTAATGATTGGTCTACCATTATGTTTTATAGTTTTTTTATCGGAAATAAGTGTTGGTAAAGAAATCGCTGTATATTTAACAGTTGTTTATTTAACTTTTTACTCTATTGTCCTTGTTTTATTGTACGCATCCTCTACAACTTATATTTCTTCGTAATTTTTATTGTATTAGTTTCTGTGTAGTTCTTGTTGTATTATTTGTTGTTTATGCAATGACTGTTCTATTATCTAATGTTATTTTTCGATTCAAATAAAAATATATCTAATCCTTAGATTTCTATTGAAAAAATGACTTCGAATATGTAAAAGATCCTTGAGATTAGAAAAGTATTTGTTGAATATCAATCAGTTAATGCGATATATCACTTTTTTCTTCATACAGAGACAAACCAACAAAAATAAAGAATGCATAATGATCCGAAAACAAAAAGTCAGTTATTGAACTAAATTTATTATTTTCTTTATTTTTATTTTACTACTGAAACAAAAAAAAAGGTACAAATGCTTTCACTGTTTATGCATCTAAATAAAAAACAAATAAGCAAGACGATGGTTGAAATTCTATAATGATATACACTGACGAGGGAAGATCACCAACAGATCAATCGCTTTTTGTTCAGTTCCTAGTGGTCTGTAGGTGATCGATTATGCTGATTTCGAATTTCATAATGATTTGGATCGCTAGATCCTCAGTGATCGTGTTGGGTGTGGATGAAGACAAATAGAAGACTCACACCCACACCCTCTATTAACGATTAAGAAATATACAGTTGCAGCAAAAATTATCCGTACGATTTTGTTTTTGATGAACGATAGTCAGAATACCGATCTTTTAAGATT